ATTAGTGCAGAACACTGTACCTTTAATTTAAATGCCCTTGGAGTCTGCTGGGGAAGAGAAATAATACTGTCAGTCAGTATGACATGCAGATGAGTGCCGTCGATCTTAGAATCACCGCACACTTCACTCATTTGGCCAGTCACGGGGCCAAAACCAGTGTTTGGAGCCACAGTGTGGCGGTGGAGGCAGCAGCAATGGGAGGCCATACAGCAACCTATGACAAAATGGAAACCAGCAGGAGTGTGAGGAGACCTCAAAGTGGCACATGGCAGAGTGGGAGCAATGGGAGGCGGTACAGGGACCCATGTCACACTGTGGACCCAGCAGCAGCATGACGAGGCGGTACGGGGGCCCATGGCAGATTTGGGGCCTGGCAGCACCTATGGGAGGCCTGTAATCTGCCAGCAACCTATGACAAAATGGAAAACAGCAGGAGTGTGAGGAGACCTCAAAGTGGCACATGGCAGAGTGGGAGCAATGGGAGGCCGTACAGGGACCCATGACAGACTCTGGACTTGGCAGCAGCATGAGGAGGCGGTATAGGGGCCCATGGCAGATTAGGGGCCTGGCAGCAGCTATGGGAGGCCCGTAATCTGCCAGCACCCTATGTCAAAAAATTGAACACACCAGCAGTGTGAGGAGACCTGAAAGTGGCACATGGCAGAGTGTGGCGATGGAGACAGCAGCAATGGGAGGCCGTACAGGGACCCATGAGAGACTCTGGACTTGGCAGCAGCATGAGGAGGCGGTATAGGGGCCCATGGCAGATTAGGGGCCTGGCAGCAGCTATGGGAGGCCCGTAATCTGCCAGCACCCTATGACAAAAAATGGAACACACCAGCAGTGTGAGGAGACCTGAAAGTGGCACATGTTTGGGGCATGATTCATGGCGGATTTAGTCAGTTGTGTCAGGAACTGGTGGTTTGAAATCCAGACTAATCCACGCCTGATTCATTTTCAGAAACGTGAGTCTCTCCACACTTTGGGTGGACAGTCGTGTCCTCCTGCCGCACTAAACACGCGCTCCGATGCCACGCTACTGGCCGGGCATGACAGCCTTTCAAGGGCAAATTCAGCTAGTTGGGGCCAAAGGTCAAGTTTCGTTGCCCAGTAGTCAAGGGGATTGTCTACCTTGGTTGGCAGGGTGCTGTCCAAGTAGGCCTAAGCCTGTTGTTTGAGGTCCTGCTCCAGGTCCACCTGATGCTGCTGCTGCTGCTGCTGCGGCTGGTTAGTAGTTTCCTCACTGCGCTGGTGAAGAAAGCTACTCATCATCGACTGCAGACTGAGGCAGCCGCTGCTGGTGGAGCTGCCACTGCTCCTACCACCCCACCCCTCCCCTGCTGCCATGGCAGCGTAACGCGAGCGCACAGGGCCCACAGTGTCTGAGGATGGACGTTGGCGCAGACAGGCAGAGACCAGCTGACTACATAGGTGGTTTTTTATAGTACGTTATTTTGGCCTCCCTCTCAGCAGGTGTGAAAAAGGCCACCATTTTGGAACGGTAGCGAGGGTCCAACAAGGTGGACAGCCAAAAGTCATCCCTCTGTCTGATGGTTATTATTCGGCTGTCGGTACGCAAGCAAGCGAGCATGCTATGGGCCATTTGTGCCAAGGAATGCGAGGGACTCCCTGCCTCCATCTCCACAGCATACTGCCACGGTGCGTCTGGGTCCTCTGTCTCCTCTTCCTCCTCCTCTACCAGATGCTCCTGCTCCTCCACTCCTGTCCGCTGAGTGGAAAAAAAACCACCCATTTCACTCAATAATTCCTGAGCACCAATGTCCTCCTCTACCTCCTCCTCTTCTTCCTGTCCTGCCCCCACAGGGGTCATGTGGCGTTGAGATCTGTGCGCCACGTCTACCGCACCCTGACAAGCCATTGTTAACAGCATTTGTTCCAGGACGTGCAACAGAGGAATGACGTCGTTCATCCCATAGTCCTGCCGACTCACGAATAGCGTGGCCTCCTCAAAGGGCCTGAGCAAGCGCAGGTGTCACGCATGAGCTGCCAATGGCTGACATCTAAGTTACACAGGGAGTACCTTTATCCGCTTTTAACATCAGGAAATCTGTGATGGCCTTTTGCTGTTCGTAAAGGCGGTCTAACATATGTAGGGTTGAATTCCACCTTGTTGCAAACGTCACAGCATGAGGAGTCGGTACAGGGGCCCATGGCAGATTACGGGCCTGGCAGCAGCAATGGGAGGGCCCGTAATCTGCCAGCACCCTATGTCAAAAAATTCAACACACCAGCAGTGTGTGAGGAGACCTGAAAGTGGCACATGGCAGAGTGTGGCGATGGAGACAGCAGCAATGGGAGGCCGTACAGGGACCCATGAGAGACTCTGGACCTGGCAGCAGCATGAGGAGGCGGTATATAGGGGCCTATGGCAGATTAGGGGCCTGGCAGCAGCTATGGGAGGCCCGTAATCTGCCAGCACCCTATGTCAAAAAATTCAACACACCAGCAGTGTGAAGAGACCTGAATGTGGCACATGGCAGCAGAGTGTGGCGATGGAGACAGCAGCAATGGGAGGCCGTACAGGGACCCATGAGAGACTCTGGACTTGGCAGCAGCATGAGGAGGCGGTATATAGGGGCCCATGGCAGATATTAGGGGCCTGGCAGCAGCTATGGGAGGCCCGTAATCTGCCAGCACCCTATGTCAAAAAAATTCAACACACCAGCAGTGTGTGAGGAGACCTGAAAGTGGCACATGGCAGAGTGTGGCGATGGAGACAGCAGCAATGGGAGGCCGTACAGGGACCCATGAGAGAGACTCTGGACCTGGCAGCAGCATGAGGAGGCGGTATAGGGGCCCATGGCAGATTAGGGGCCTGGCAGCAGCTATAGGAGGCCCGTAATCTGCCAGCACCCTATGTCAAAAAATTCAACACACCAGCAGGTGTGAGGAGACCTGAAAGTGGCACATGGCAGAGTGTGGCGATGGAGACAGCAGCAATGGGAGGCCGTACAGGGACCCATGAGAGACTCTGGACCTGGCAGCAGCATGAGGAGGCGGTATAGGGGCCCATGGCAGATTAGGGGCCTGGCAGCAGCTATAGGAGGCCCGTAATCTGCCAGCACCCTATGTCAAAAAATTCAACACACCAGCAGTGTGTGAGGAGACCTGAAAGTGGCACATGGCAAGTGGCGATGGAGACAGCACAATGGCATGACCCAGAGACTGTGGACCTGGCAGCAGCATGAGGAGGCGGTATATAGGGGCCCATGGCAGATTAGGGGCCTGGCAGCAGCTATGGGAGGCCCGTAATCTGCCAGCACCCTATGTCAAAAAATTCAACACACCAGCAGTGTGTGAGGAGACCTGAAAGTGGCACATGGCAGAGTGTGGCGATGGAGACAGCAGCAATGGGAGGCCGTACAGGGACCCATGAGAGACTCTGGACCTGGCAGCAGCATGAGGAGGCGGTATATAGGGGCCTATGGCAGATTAGGGGCCTGGCAGCAGCTATGGAGGCCCGTAATCTGCCAGCACCCTATGTCAAAAAATTCAACACACCAGCAGTGTGTGAGGAGACCTGAAAGTGGCACATGGCAGAGTGTGGCGATGGAGACAGCAGCAATGGGAGGCCGTACAGGGACCCATGAGAGACTCTGGACCTGGCAGCAGCATGAGGAGGCGGTATATAGGGGCCCATGGCAGATTAGGGGCCTGGCAGCAGCTATATAGGAGGCCCGTAATCTGCCAGCACCCTATGTCAAAAAATTCAACACACCAGCAGTGTGAGGAGACCTGAAAGTGGCACATGGCAGTGTGGCGATGGAGACAGCAGCAATGTGGAGGCCGTACAGGGACCCATGCAGACTCACCTGCAGCAGCATGAGGAGGCGGTATATAGGGGCCCATGGCAGATTAGGGGCCTGGCAGCAGCTATGGGAGGCCCGTAATCTGCCAGCACCCTATGTCAAAAAATTCAACACACAGCAGCAGTGTGAAGAGACCTGAAAGTGGCACATGGCAGAGTGTGGCGATGGAGACAGCAGCAATGGGAGGCCGTACAGGGACCCATGAGAGACTCTGGACCTGGCAGCAGCATGAGGAGGCGGTATATAGGGGCCTATGGCAGATTAGGGGCCTGGCAGCAGCTATAGGAGGCCCGTAATCTGCCAGCACCCTATGTCAAAAAATTCAACACACCAGCAGTGTGTGAGGAGACCTGAAAGTGGCACATGGCAGAGTGTGGCGATGGAGACAGCAGCAATGGGAGGCCGTACAGGGACCCATGAGAGACTCTGGACCTGGCAGCAGCATGAGGAGGCGGTATATAGGGGCCCATGGCAGATTAGGGGCCTGGCAGCAGCTATAGGAGGCCCGTAATCTGCCAGCACCCTATGTCAAAAAATTCAACACACCAGCAGTGTGTGAGGAGACCTGAAAGTGGCACATGGCAGAGTGTGGCGATGGAGACAGCAGCAATGGGAGGCCGTACAGGGACCCATGAGAGACTCTGGACCTGGCAGCAGCATGAGGAGGCGGTATAGGGGGCCATGGCATGGCAGATTAGGGGCCTGGCAGCAGCTATAGGAGGCCCGTAATCTGCCAGCACCCTATGTCAAAAAATTCAACACACCAGCAGTGTGAGGAGACCTGAAAGTGGCACATGGCAGAGTGTGGCGATGGAGACAGCAGCAATGGGAGGCCGTACAGGGACCCATGAGAGACTCTGGACCTGGCAGCAGCATGAGGAGGCGGTATATAGGGGCCCATGGCAGATTAGGGGCCTGGCAGCAGCTATAGGAGGCCCGTAATCTGCCAGCACCCTATGTCAAAAAATTCAACACACCAGCAGTGTGTGAGGAGACCTGAAAGTGGCACATGGCATGAGACAGCACTGTGGACCATGAGACAGCCTGGCAGCAGCATGAGGAGGCGGTACAGGGGCCCATGGCAGCAGAGATTAGGGGCCTGGCAGCAGCTATAGGAGGCCCGTAATCTGCCAGCACCCTATGTCAAAAAATTCAACACACCAGCAGTGTGTGAGGAGACCTGAAAGTGGCACATGGCAGAGTGTGGCGATGGAGACAGCAGCAATGGGAGGCCGTACAGGGACCCATGAGAGACTCTGGACCTGGCAGCAGCATGAGGAGGGCGGTATATAGGGGCCCATGGCAGATTAGGGGCCTGGCAGCAGCTATAGGAGGCCCGTAATCTGCCAGCACCCTATGTCAAAAAATTGAACACACACACCAGCAGTGTGAGGAGACCTGAAAGTGGCACATGGCATAAGAGACTGTGGACCTGGCAGCAGCATGAGGAGGCGGTATAGGGGCCCATGGCAGATTAGGGGCCTGGCAGCAGCTATGGGAGGCCCGTAATCTGCCAGCACCCTATGACAAAAAATGGAACACACACCAGCAGTGTGTGAGGAGACCTGAAAGTGGCACATGTTTGAGGCATGATTCATGGCGGATTTAGTCAGTTGTGTCAGGAACTGGTGGTTTGAAATCCAGACTAATCCACGCCTGATTCATTTTCACAAACGTGAGTCTCTCCACACTTTGGGTGGACAGTCGTGTCCTCCGCGGAGTTACAATACCTCCTGCCGCACTAAACACGCGCTCCGATGCCACGCTACTGGCCGGGCATGACAGCCTTTCAAGGGCAAATTCAGCTAGTTGGGGCCAAAGGTCAAGTTTCGTTGCCCAGTAGTCAAGGGGATTGTCTACCTCGGTTGGCAGGGTGCTGTCCAAGTAGGCCCAAGCCTGTTGTTTGAGGTCCTGCTCCAGGTCCACCTGATGCTGCTGCTGCTGCTGCTGCTGCGGCTGGTTAGTAGTTTCCTCACTGCGCTGGTGAAGAAAGCTACTCATCATCATCGACTGCAGACTGAGGCAGCCGCTGCTGGTGGAGCTGCCCACTGCTCCTACCACCCCACCCCTCCCCTGCTGCCATGGCAGCGGAACGCGAGCGCACAGGGCCCACAGTGTCTGAGGATGGACGTTGGCGCACAAAGGCAGAGACCAACTGACTACATAGGTGGTTTTTATAGTACGTTATTTTGGCCTCCCTCTCAGCAGGTGTGAAAAAGGCCACCATTTTTGAACGGTAGCGAGGGTCCAACAAGGTGGACAGCCAAAAGTCATCCCTCTGTCTGATGATGGTTTATTATTCGGCTGTCGCTACGCAAGCAACCGAGCATGCTATGGGCCATTTGTGCCAAGGAATGCGAGGGACTCCCTGCCCTCCATCTCCACAGCATACTGCCACGGTGCGTCTGGGTCCTCTGTCTCCTCCTCCTCCTCCTCTACCAGATGCTCCTGCTCCTCCACTCCTGTCCGCTGAGTGGAAAAACACCACCCATTTCACTCAATAATTCCTGAGCACAAATGTCCTCCTCTACCTCCTCCTCTTCTTCCTGTCCTGCCCCCACAGGGGTCATGTGGCGTTGAGATCTGTGCGCCACGTCTACCGCACCCTGACCAGCCATTGTTAACAGCATTTGTTCCAGGACGTGCAACAGAGGAATGACGTCGTTCATCCCATAGTCCTGCCGACTCACGAATAGCGTGGCCTCCTCAAAGGGCCTGAGCAAGCGGCAGGTGTCACGCATGAGCTGCCAATGGCTGACATCAAAGTTACACAGGGGAGTACCTTTTATCCGCTTGTAACATCAGGAAATCGGTGATGGCCTTTCGCTGTTCGTAAAGGCGGTCTAACATGTGTAGGGTTGAATTCCACCCTTGTTGCAACGTCGCAGATCAGGCGATGCTGTGCAATTCCGTTCTGCCGCTGCAGCTCAAGGAGGGTGTGCTTTGCGGGGTGTAGGAATGGCTGAAATGCATGCAAAGTTTACGTGACATTTTAAGGATGTCTTGCAGTGGGATGGTGGATTTTAGGAACCGCTTGACAACCAGATTGAACACGTGAGCCATGCATGGCGCATGGCACAACCTTCCTTGACGCAGAGCAGACACCATGTTCTTTCCGTTGTCGGTCAACATGGTTCCGATTTTGAGTTTGCGCGGAGACAGCCATCTGTCGATTTCTCTCTGTTCATTACACTGAGAAGTTCCTCCCCTGTGTGACTACGTTCGCCAAGGCATACCAGGTGCAGCACAGCGTGACACCGTTGCGCCCTGCACATGTGATATGCCGGTCGGGTAATGGGACTTGGCACGGGGGGTGGCGGCTGCTGAGGACACGGCGGAAGAAGAGGTGGTAGAGGCGGACATCTTTTGCCGGACCAAGGACGTGCAAACGTGGAGGCAAAAGCGGCGTGACCTGTCCAAGTTGCTGGTGCGGCTGTGACGGCACCACGTTCACCCAGTGGGCCGTAAATGACATGTACTGTCCCTGACCGTAGTTACAGCTCCACACGTCGGCGCTGCCGTGCACTTTGGCAGAGACCGACATGCTCAAAGACTGGCCCACCATCTCTTCTACACATGTGAATGCAGGGCTGGCACTGCCTTTTTGGCGAAGAAATGACGGCTTGGCACTCTCCACCGCGGCGCGGCACAAGCCATCATTTCTCGGAAAGGTGCTGAGTCCACCACTTGGAAAGGGAGGGACTGCAGCACCAGCAACTTGGACAGGAGGACGTTCAGCTTTTGCACCGTCGGGTGCGTGCTCGCAAACTGTTGTCTCTTGGAAACGGATTCCAAGAAAGACTGCTGACGGAATCCGTGAAGAGGAGTAGCAGGAGAAGGAGCATCTGAACGAGCGGAAGATGCCAACGAGCGACAACTCCCCTCAGCAGAGGTGTTGGAGAGCCTTGACTGGCTGATGGAGGGCGATTGACGTCGGGTGACGGAGCAAGTAACGGAGCGGTGATGGAGCGGGGGCTGGGGCGGGCAGAACCGCCGTATCTTTATCACGGTTTTCCCAGGCCACCAAATGGCGACGCTGCATATGCTGCCGCAACGCTGTAGTCCCAACATGGGCCCCCTGGCCACGCTTGACTTTCTGGCCACATAGTCGACATACGGCTACGTTTACTTCCTCGGGCGGCTTGACAAAAAATTGCCCACACCGCCGAGTAGGAAACTTTGCCCCCGATACTCCTCACTGGCTGACTGCTGCTTCCTCCGTGCACACCACCGGCACCACTACTGGCCGTGGTGGTAGGCTGCAGTGGAGCTGGTGCTCTACTCCGTGGCCGTTTTTGCTCCACTGACACTGCTGCGACCCTGCTGCTGCCTCCTGGGCAACCCACCGACTTTTCGCTCGCTGCCAAGCTGCCACCCTCTTCTCCTGATGATGCGGAAGAAATTGCCTGATGACGACGAGGCTGCCAAGTGCGATCAACCTCCTCATCATCAAGTAGGGTCTCCGCCTCACTACTAGCCCCCTCGGCTGCGTCTGGGTCAGGAGACAGACCTGTCTCTAGACCGGCTACCGAGCCACTCTCCTCGCCACTACTTCTTCGCCTGGCTGCTGAAAAGGCGGATGTCTCCCCCCGTTCCTGACCGCCCTCTGTTAGCTCTTCCTCACTGTACAGTGGGGCTGAGCCCACAGCATGCGATACTTCGCTTGGTGAGGGAACACCAAAGGACAGGGGCAGGTAGAGGACACGTGATTTCAGTGGGCTTGGTCCCGGGCCATGCCAACTAACGGTTGTGTCTGACGTACCCACCGACCGTTGGCTGTAGGTGTGTCAGAGGTGACCTGGGAAGAGGAAGACGACCGAGCCAACCAATCGATGACGGCAGGGTTGTCGGTGGAGACACGACCGCTGGATGACACCGGGAGCACTGGCCTCTGGCTGCGAATAGTGCTGCCTCGACCCCTTCCTCTGCTGCCACGTCTGCTCGCTCCTAAAACATTGCCTCCTCTGCCACTCCTCTGCATGTTGTCTGACATACTCTTTAATTCAACGATTCTGTGTCCCTGAGTAACAATTCTGTGTCCCTGAGTAACAATTCTGTGTCTGTCCCTGAGTAACAATTCTGTGGCCCTAAGTAACGGTTCTGTGTCCCCTCAGTAACAATTCTGTGTCCCTCAGTAACAATTCTGTGTCTGTCCCTGAGTAACAATTCTGTGTGGCCCTAAGTAACGGTTCTGTGGCCCTCAGTAACAATTCTGTGTCCCTGATTAACGTTTATTATGTGGCCCTAAGTAACGGTTCTGTGGCCCTCAGTAACAATTCTGTGTCCCTGAGTAACAATTCTGTGTCTGTCCGAGTAACAATTCTGTGGCCCTAAGTAACAGTTCTGTGGCCCTCAGTAACAATTCTGTGTCCCTGAGTAACAATTCTGTGGCCCTAAGTAGTAACAATTCTGTGGCCCTCTGTAACAATTCTGTGTCCCTCAGTAACAATTCTGTGTCCCTGAGTAACAATTCTGTGGCCCTAAGTAACGGTTCTGTGTGCCCTCAGTAACAATTCTGTGTCCCTCAGTTACAATTCTGTGTCTGTCCCTGAGTAACAATTCTGTGGCCCTAAGTAACGGTTCTGTGGCCCTCAGTAACAATTCTGTGTCCCTGAGTAACGTTTCTGTGGCCCTAAGTAACGGTTCTGTGGCCCTCAGTAACAATTCTGTGTCCCTCAAGAAACAATTCTGTGTCTGTCCCTGAGTAACAATTCTGTGGCCCTAAGTAACGGTTCTGTGGCCCTCAGTAACAATTCTGTGTCCCTGATTAACTTTTCTGTGGCCCTAAGTAACGGTTCTGTGGCCCTCAGTAACAATTCTGTGTCCCTGATTAACGTTTATGTGGCCCTAAGTAACGGTTCTGTGGCCCTCAGTAACAATTCTGTGTCCCTCAGTAACAATTCTGTGTCTGTGTCCCTGAGTAACAATTCTGTGGCCCTAAGTAACGGTTCTGTGGCCCTCAGTAACAATTCTGTGTCCCTGAGTAACAATTCTGTGGCCCTAAGTAACGGTTCTGTGGCCCTCAGTAACAATTCTGTGTCCCTGAGTAACAATTCTGTGGCCCTAAGTAACAATTTGTGCCCTCAGTAACATTCTGTCTCAGTAACAATTTGTGTCCCTCAGTAACAATTCTGTGTCTGTCCCTGAGTAACAATTCTGTGGCCCTAAGTAACAATTCTGTGGCCCTCAGTAACAATTCTGTGTCCCTGAGTAACGTTTCTGTGGCCCTAAGTAACGGTTCTGTGGCCCTCAGTAACAATTCTGTGTCCCTGATTAACTTTTATTCTGTGCCCTAAGTAACGGTTCTGTGGCCCTCAGTAACAATTCTGTGTCCCTGTCCCTCAGATTAACGTTTCTGTGGCCCTAAGTAACGGTTCTGTGGCCCTCAGTAACAATTCTGTGTCCCTCTCAGTAACAATTCTGTGTCCCCTGAGTAACAATTCTGTGGCCCTAAGTAATGGTTCTGTGGCCCTCAGTAACAATTCTGTGTGTCCCTGAGTAACAATTCTGTGGCCCTAAGTAACAATTCTGTGGCCCTCAGTAACAATTCTGTGTCCCTGAGTAACAATTCTGTGGCCCTAAGTAAC